TTTGCATGCCAACTCCGCCAATACGTCTTGTCCAAGGGAGCTCAGTACGTTGCATACCCCCTCTTCGGCTCTTCTTCCTGCACACCTTGTCTCACAAACCCCCTCTCCTAACCTGCATGCACCCCACACCCGCCCCAACCTACCTACCTACCATCCACCTTACTAACATCACCCAAAACAGAGAAATCACCAAATGTCTCACAATCCTGCACACCATGTCCACGCAATGGGAAGCAGCCAAACACTGCCACAGGGCACTTTCCCTTCTATCTCGAACTATCCAGGAAACAGGCATCACTGCAGCAGGTGAAGGATCACCCAACAAACGACGGAAAGTAGCAGTAGATCCTCACCACACCGCCTTCTTCACTCCCATTAATTCGCTATCATCGACGAATATGGATGATCAATATGCAAGAGGACGAGCAGGGAGGACTTCTACTTCTGCTGCTACTGCTGCGATAACATCCGGTCTGCATGAACCTGCTAATACTAGTGGCGGCCATGTACATCTGTCTCATGAGGAGAGGTTATTCTCTGCGGAAGGGGTTATTACTAATACTAATGATAATAATGGAGATGCGGTGAGAGTTTGATTTTGGGATCGTGGATCTGCTCGAGGGGAGTAATTTTGATGATTTGGCGGATATGTTTGGGCAGCAGTATCCTTCTTTTTGAAGGCGGTACTTATTCCATCATGGATTGGGATATATGGGTTGGTATATGAGAAAGGGGCGATGTATGATAGTGCATATTACGAGATACAGAGACCATGTAAATACAACAAGTTACGGCTACGAATGGAAAGGATATCTACATATACGTATAATACGTGAGAACGATCCCGTGAGGAAGTCATAAGTCTATATTACACTCGTGTCATATCGTAGGATACGAGGTAGGTAGTATGGCGGGGATAGGAAGAGAAGACGTCACAACTTCCTCCCTCTCGTGACATGAAATAAGAGAACCATGGCATCCGAACAACTTTTCATCTCCGTTCCCAGAATTTGCCCGCCTTCCTTTGCCCATCGCCCTCTTGCATCACGTGCTAACATTGCCAGGGAACAAACCCCAAAGCGCCATTCAAGAGGAAGGAGAAAGAAAGAGAGACAGGAGATCCGGTAAAGGTGATGTCGCTCGCTAATCATGGACCGATGACACCACTAACAAAGAACTTTTGGGAACCGAGGGATATCAGGACCAGGAGGGAAGGAGAAGAGAGGGATAAAAAAAAAAAAAAAAAAGTGGAAAGGTTGAGGGGTGGGTAAAATGGAAAGGAGGTGTCGGATAGGAGGGAAATAAGAGGTGAAATCGTTAATTCGAGTAGAAGAGGTAGAAGAGGTCATCAAAAATAGGTGGGAGTCAAAAAAATTCGACATGGCAGACTGCTGAAATCAAACCACCGGTGCAGGAGATGAGACGCGAATTTACGCCTTGTTCTCCTCAGTCGAGGCCTCCTTCTCCGCCTCGGGCTTGGCAGCCTCAGCGGCAGGAGCCTCAGACTCGGTGCCCTTGTTCTTCATGTACTCATCGTAAACGCTAAGGGCCTCGTCGACCTTGGCGCGAAGGGCTTCCTCGTCCTCAAGCCTATAATAATGTATTAGCAACTAGAAGTAACAGACTAAAATGGAGAAGGGAAATACTCACAGGCTGAGCAACTCGGTGTTGTCCATCTCCAGAAGCATACCAGTGATCTTACCAGCCAGCTCAGGCTGCTGGGCCTGGATCTTGGGGTAGAGAGCCTCACCGAGCATCTGCTTCTGCTGGGCCGGGGGAGCGGCACCGAGAGTCTGAGCGTTAACACCACCAGCGGCACCTTCCTGAGGACCGGCGGGAGCAGCAGCGTTCTGTCCGCGACCACCCTGGCCAGGGCGCATCTGACCCTGCTGAACAGGAACACCACCACGGCCCTGGCCGTAACCGGGACCGCCACGCATACCCTGACCCATGGGCATTCCGGGGACCTGACCACGGCCACCAGCGCCGCGTCCGAACTGCACCTGAGCCATCTGGGGGTAGCCCATGCCGTTAGGGATGGCACCAGGGCCCTGCATGCCCATGGGGATGCCCTGAGCAAAGTTGGGAGGGATCTGCTGGTTGGGGCCCATGCCGCGACCACCCTGCTGGCCAGGGAAGGGACCGGGGTACTGGCCGGGGCGTCCACCGGGGATACCCATCACCATACCGGGCTGAGGGGGGAAGGCCATGCCGCGCTGACCACCAGGGATGAAACCCTGCTGGCCGGGGCCGTAGAAGACAGCGGGCTGCATGTAAGGCTGGGGCATACCAGCGGCAGCGGCGGCCTGCTGCTGTCTGATGGTGTTGCGAGCCTGGATGCTGGCCTCAAGCTGGCTGCGGCGGACATCCTTGCGCTGGGCAAGGGCAACGTAGAGGGGCTTGCCGTTGACCATTCTCTGGTTCATCTCGGTGACAGCCTTGGAAGCCTCATCGGGGCTGCTGAAGCAGACGAAACCGAAACCCTTGCTCTTACCGAAGGGCTTCTTGTCAGACTTCTTGGCCTCCTTGTCCTTCTCCTCGGAGGACTCGGCGGCCTTCTCCTCGGCCTTCTCCTCGGCCTTCTCAGCCTCGGGGGTGGCCTCCTTGTCGTTCTCCTTGTTAGCCTCCTTCTCCTTACCAGCAGAGTCGGGAGACGATTCGCGCTCGACGTTGGTGTCGCGCATAACCTTGGCAGAGGTGATGGTGCCGTAAGGTCCGAAGAGCTCACGGAGCTTCTCATCATCAATGTCGTCGGTCAGGTTCTTCACGTAGAGGTTGACACCCTGGTACTTGGAAGCCTTCTCCAGGCGGGCAGCCTCGTACTGCTTGCGCAGCTCCTCCTCACGCTCGTGCTTCTTCTGGGCACGACCGACGTAGAGCTTCTGGCTGCGGATCTCCTTGTCGTTCATCTCCTCGACGGCGGCCTGCGCGCTCTCGTGGGTAGAGAAGTTGACAAAACCGAAGCCACGGCTCTTGCCCTCCTGGTCACGGCTGAGGGTGGCGGAGGTGATCTCACCGAACTTCTCGAACATCTTGCGGAACTCATCGTCATCAATCTCAGAGTCGAGGTTCTTGATGTAGACGTTGGTGAAGTTGGCCTTCATCTCCTCGAACTTGCTCTGGCGGTCCTTCTTGGAGATGTGGTGGCCGACGAAGACCTTCTTGTCGTTCAGCAGCATGCCGTTGACGTGCTTGATGGCGTTGTTGGCAGCCTCAGCAGTCTCGTAGTGGACGAAACCGTATCCCTTGGAGTTGCCGAACTCATCCTGAGCGACCTTGCAGCTGAGAATGTTGCCGAAGGCGGCGAAGGTGTCGTGGAGAGCCTTGTTGTCAATGGCGCTGTCCAGGTTCTTGATGAAGACATTGCCCTGGCCAGTCTTGCGGAGAGCGGGGTCACGCTGGGACCACATGATACGGCAGGGCTTGCCCTTGATCAGAGTGTAGTTGAGATCTTCCAGAGCACGCTCACCATCGGCGGTGTTGTTGTAGTTAACGTAGGCGTATCCAAGAGAGCGTCTGGTGACGGCATCACGGCAGACACGGATGGAAGCAACCTGGCCGATGGAAGAGAACAGCTCATAGAGCATGGCCTCGGTCACGGAGGGGTCGAGTTCACCGACATAGAGGGAAGCCGAGTGAGGCTGGTTGGCAGCGGGAGCCGGAGTAGAGTTCTCAACGGCAGTGACCTCGGGGGTGGTGGCACTGGGGGCAGCAGCAGCAGGGCTGGCCTCAGCGGCGCCGTTGACGTTCTCGGCAGCGGGGGTGGTAGAGACGTCGGCAGACATTTTTGTGGTGTTACTGTTGGACAAGAGGTGAAAATGTTAGCACAGGTGTCGATGAAGAGGATACGAGAGAGTAAGTGGGGAGGTGGGAGAGGGACAAGCTGTAACAAGCGATGGAATTGGAGGATTGGAACAAAGCTCTCCAGCAACAATGAACGAGAACAATCGCAAGACAAAGAAGAAAGAGATGAATGATGACAGCGGGAAGATGAGCAAGGGGATAAGATGAAATCAGAGGCAGTGTGGGCTTGTCTGATGGAGACGGGGATTTCCTTCCCAGGCGGTCACACTATCACCGTGATAGAGATAGAAGGCAGGCAAGGGAAGGTTGACAAGAGATGGAGGGGGGATGGTGGAGGAATGACGATCCACGCAGCAAAAGTACAACCTCAACTTAAGACACCGGGAAAGACCGTCAAGACAACGGCTGCTGGTATGAAAAGAAGGCTGGGGAAGTGAAGCGAAAGAGACGATCACGAGGGATGAAGAATATGCGGTAGAGGGAAAACTTCCAGATGCACGCACAAAACACGCGCGCCCACACACACACACCGCACAACTTTTCGGAGACAGTGGGAAAAAGTCACAGTAGGGCCCCAACACGAACACGAAATTTTGATGGACGGGAAAGGGAGTATTTACTTTGGTTTTTTTGGTCTTTTTTCCGGGTTTTTTTAGGGGATTTTTTTCGAGGAGTTTTCGAAAAAGGGAGATATGAAAAAGGAGGAAGAAGAGAAAAGGATGCTGGGGATAGACAGCAGAGAAGGGTTTTATGGATTTTTTGGGGAAGGAAGAAAGAAGAAAGAAGAGCGGATGGAGGAGGAAGAGGAAGAGACGGCGAAGAATGAAAATCGCCCCGAAAAAGACCTTTCTCTGACTGTGACTGTCTGAAATTCTGCCTGCCTTTTTTTTTTCTTTTTTTTTTATCTGAAAAAAACTCAAAACGATAAAATTTTCTTTTGCTCTCTTTGGGTCGGCAGGTGGCGCTAAACCTTATTAGGGTATGGTCCTCGCTGCTTGAACGGCGCTTCACGGAATGGTGGATTCCTTTTCGGCCTTTAAACTCGAGCGGCAAAAAAAAAAAAAAGGAAAAAAAACCAAACTAACATTTGAAGGATCTTAAGTTACATGTGCCTCAGGCATTAAAACGGGGCTAGGCCACCATCAGGCAGTCAATCAAGAATATCACCAGCCCATCGATTATCCATTAAATTCATTCATTCATTCACCATCCATTCATGGTTTTATTGGTACGGGAGCTTGGAACGGCAGCCACAGTGTTCGTGCAGAGGCCGGGCCTTTGATCAACAAAGGATCTTTAACAAAGCGAACCATTTTCGAATAAATAATGATGAAAGCTATCTATCTGGTTGGTCGAAGCTACCCCTCGCCATATGAACAAAGCCCCGAGACGAAAGCAAGTGTAGTAGATACTAGGACTCGAGCTAGAAATAGCACCCATCCTCGATGGAATAGACACACAATGAAACGCGTTATCAACAACCACAAGAACAACAACAAGAAAAAGAACACATGGATCACCAGGACGCCTAGCTATGCTACTCATAATTATTCACTAAATGCGCTGCAGGCATAATTGCATTGACCGATCCGTGTCATGCAAACTCTCCATTCCCCTCAGCTCAGATCAAATCCAGCTCCGGAATTGACCGCATACAAAAGCTTCTCCCGAAGGGTATTGGCGTTGGTATACCGGGGCAGCTTGAGAAGATTCACGCAGGTGCTCGTACTGGGGAGTCGTTCTTGATCCTCGCTCGAGTCTCGAATGCTGAAACGAGGATTGAGATGGCTGAAACCTAATAAAGGAGCCCGGGGGGTCGACGTCACAAACCGAAGCACTTTCTGTCTTTCTTCGTTGGACATCTTCTCCATCACATCCCAGAACAGCTTCACGGTGGGGTGCTCTTCTTTATCATCCCCGATCGTGTATACACCTCCGTAAAGCGTGTTGCGTCGCAAGTCGGCTACATCAATGTCTCCTGAATCACCACTAACAAGGGTCTGCAGCTCCGTCTGGTTGAACATCGACAGCCACGACGGCTGAATGATTTGTCCCAAACCCTGAAGGAAAGCGTTGGTCTGCAGAGCAGGCTGGACTTGAAGCCGGTAGCGTGCAATGTAAGAGATATAAACCAACCGATTCTGATTCGTAACAGGTATGTCTGACCCGTGGCTTTTCAAGTCCCGGGTAGTCGTACGGTTACCCCCGTCGGGAAGCGGTATCGTGTCAGTGACGGTGAAGTTCAACGAGAAGTCTTCCACATCACCAGGGTAGTTCTTCAGTTGCAACTGTAGCATGGGTTAGCAGCTAGAACACAGTGTTATTGAGCCACACGCTTCACTTACCAATCCCTGGTACAGTCCCTGGTCCAGATCCTTCAGATCATTCAGGTTGGCGCGGTAGGCTGTCTCACGCTGGGCCGAACCCGTGCCGCCCGTCAAAGCCCACTTCAGCAAGAAGAACGGGGCAAAGTTGACATCCACCAAGATGCCCTCATATAGACACTTTCCAATGATACGGCCTAGGAATTCATAGCGCCTAAGTAGGTCACGGACGTTCTCGTTCCATTCCGCAGTGTTCTCAACAAAGCCGAGCTGTCGTAGAAGCTCTCGCCGCTGCTCGACTGCAGCAGGGTTCGGATAGAGCAGGTGCTGGTCGTTCTCTTCAAATAAATTCAAATCACTGGTCGATTTGAAAGCTTCACTAGTCACGCTCGTGAGGAACTCTTTGGTAACACCACCACCGTCAATACCAGCTTCGGTTGTATTAAACTTGTCAATGAACGTGATCTGAATGGGCTCCTTCAACCCATCCCCCAGCTCGTAGAACTCATCAAATGCGTCCTTGAAAATGCTCTCACGCCTGATATTGGCATGGTGCCGGCTCAGTATATCTTGCACGGCAGGGCGCCCATCAATCAGACGGCCCATTGAGGCCTGCGCCACAGACATGCGCCAGGCATCCGGATCGATATACCCCTGTCTTCGGCGCATTTGATCCCGATAAATGAACTCGCGGAAGATCTGGACTCTCGTCGGGAAAGGTATGAAGAAAGGCATGTTGCGGAGAATCTCCATCCTCGGGGCCACAGCCTCCAGCTGCTTCCTGCGAGCGGCCTGTTGTTGGCGACGTCTCAGTGCCTCGATACGGCGCGTTTGTTGAGCGCGGCCAGTACCAATCAGGCCAGGGGAAGGCTCGAAGTAGGCATCATTCATTAAATCATCCTGTTCTTCCTCCTCATCCTCATCCTGCAGCTGGTGCCTATTCTCCTCTTCTGCTACAACGGCAGGGATGAAGCCTTCCATGTCGAAGCGGCTGGTCATCAACCAGTGCCCGTCTGGAAGGAATTTCCGCCTTGAATCTCGCTCATGAATCATCCGCAAGAGGCCAGTGACCAAACCCTTGAAGTAGTCGAGCGGAATTCCCGTAACACCGGGAAGCCCTTTCTCTTTGTTCTTCATTTCAATGTCTCTCACACTTGCAATGGCATCCGGCGGCGCTGCAGACGAGCTGAAGTAGCTTCGAATGCCCCCGGTGTCTTGGGTTGCCTCTTTTTCACTCAGATCTGCTGAATTCCAATACAGTGTGAAACCTAGGTTCTTGAGAAATATCGTCATATCCTTAATGTCCTTCAGCGGAAGAGCGCTCTCCTTAGTCCAGGAAACTCTTGTGTTCGAGGAAGCGGTGAAAGACGACTCGCTGGAAAAGAACTCCTCATCATCCATCACTTTCAGAACGAAAGTATAGAGCTCGAGGAATAGAAGTATGATTGTCCATTCTTCATCCCTTTCCACTTGGGAGATTTCCGGATACCTAGTACCCTGCGATTCCTCGGCCGGTTTCAGCAGAGGCAACACTTTCGTCGAATCTTGACTAATGGCAGCGAAGATTCTGCTAGCCTTGGATGCTTGCCAGAAATATTTGATCGCGGGTATTCTTGAGCCTTGCTGGCCTGTCAGCTGGTCATTCGAAGTGGCCGACCCCAAATACAACCACATCCGGATGTCATCACCCCGGCGAGGAAATACTCTCAGTAGCGTCAGAGCGTATGTTGCGAGAATCTTGGCTTCTTTAGATGCATCCGATTGAGCATTTGCCAACTCCCCTTGAGAGAGATGCGTAGTGTGTAGCTCAGAAAGAAGTCCCGTGATATTACTTTGATTCACAAGGCTAACTAGCTGCTCCTTGATCAATGGGTGCAGTGGCGTTTGCTCGGGAGCCTCATCGTAGTCGTTAGAATCCTCCGACTCCAGGCGCCGAGATATGTGCACAGCGGTAGAGTTCAGCAGCTCTGATACCACCTTCACAAAACCCGGTTCTGGCGCCGGCCGACCTGTCTGGCCTCCCAGAGCGCAACGGTGGAAGAAGATAAAGTAAGCAAGCAGCCAAAGACGAGCATCCACGTCTTCTTCACTCTTCGGTCGGTCTCCGAACAGCGTTTGTAACGGCCCCAAGGCGGAGGTCAGCAACTTATAATTGATATTGTTTGCTAACCCGTCCAGACTTCCAATGTATTCCGGGAGGTTGGGAATAGTTAAATATATTTTCGCAAACCATTCATAGGCCGTAAGAGTCTCGGACGTAATGGGTCGAAGCAAAGCAAGCACACTCTCAGTAAGACTATCCCTAGAGAGCTTATACCTTGTAGATATTGATTCAAAGTCTTTTGTGAGAATCACCATGACCGAGTAGTATTCTTTGGCTAGCCGTGCCATGTGCTTTGGTATCAGCCCCGTGAGAAAGACGAGTAGCTGAAGGAGATGTTGAACCGCAAAAACCGGCACCGTTGGCGACGTCACAGACCGCAAGACACGGAGAGTCAACCCCGCCAGTTTCTTCAGCGGCGTGGTCCATTCCCCTTCGGTCGCGATTGAAGGGACTTCATGCAATGTCCTCTGGAACGCCTCGGAGAAGTATACCAGCCGAGCAACATCCCCACTGTCCCACGGTTCCAGAAACTGGACCAGCAAACGAAGCTGCGATAAGCAGTCCGCAGCTGTTCCGTATCGGAGGGAAGGTTGCAGAACAACATCAGACTGTTGGGCGAGGATGTCAAAGGAGGGGAGATGATCTTTGCCCTGCTTCTTCTCTATGGTATCCCACTCGGTGCGCCACGTCCTGCGCGTTATCTTCCGGCTCCGATAACCCCTCCATGTCCGTTGGACGAGTCGGCTCGCCGTCAACCGCTCTCTTTCCTGCTGCCTCGCAAGCCGTTCCTGTTGGGCAATCGCAAGAGTATTCTGGGGGCCTGCGCCGTGAGGGTTTTGTCGACCGGAGGGATATGCGGCGAAAGGGTTCGTATTGCGGCCCCCGAGGTTAACCTGCCGTGGACGGCGGGAGTTCCCCGTAAATGACTGGAACATAGCTTCGTCTTAGACGATCACGCTGAGATTAAAGTCTGTCGACAAGACTCGGGCGGACAAATGTGAAGGTCACTGTAGAGATGAACAGCATCAGTCAAGCGTCTCCATAACGCAGCCCACGGATGAGCAGCCTAAACACGCAGTGAAGCGGAGGTGGGTGGAGGATGGATTGAGCATTGCAGCTGTCTCTTTGCTGTCTCGTCCTGCACGCACTCCGGGATCGCCGCTGATTGCTTCTTACGGCCACGCACCGTTTTCCACCAAATATCTTTATTGCCACTCACTTTGCCGCCACGCTGCCGATATCACGCTTAATAATGGTCCAAGTGCTCTGTCTAGATGATGCTGGAATTCTTCATCTGCATGGTGAGAACTGAGTGTATGTTCCTAGAGGCTGTCTATCTTTTCGTCGCTATACGGAAGATGCTGGTGAGCTATAGGTGAGAAAATATCCATTTATTCCCTGTTTTATGACGAGTGTGAACCGGCTACTACTCCGAGAAACAGTTTATATATATAACCAACTGAGTAGCCATGAAACCAGAAAAGCGAAGACTGCAGACGGTGTGATACAGTAATACTAGATCGGGACCCCTAACACCCCCTTCTTGAGTAAGTAATGTGCCTGGCGATGAATAGTAAATTGCAGAGTGGGTTATTATGCTTTGATTATTCGAAAGGTGCCGTTCTACTAGTTTAGAAGGCTCCTAGTAATACTAGGGCTGGATCTGCCATATATCCCAGCTTGTATCACCAACTCTAACTTAATATGAGTCCCCCCCACAACCCAATCTGCAGGGAAATAGCCTTAGCACTCAATGCATACCGCATCGCAAATTTAGAGCGGATTCTACCCATGTTCCTGAACCTCATGAAATCTGTAATTGGTGATATCTAAACCATTTGCTAATATGCAATAAAAAACCCAGAGATGCGCCGCAAACCAATATATGTACCAAGAAAGGTAAGACCAAAGCCACACGCTCTGTCGTCTCAACCGCTTGATACCTAGGTAGCCCTGTATAAAACTGTGCCCTCAACATCAAATCCCACAGCTACTGTACATAGAATACAGTCCACGCAAGCCGGACCGGCAAATAAAGCATGCAGAGCCGATGAACTTGAGCGACCGCTCCCCAAAGAGCAGCACCACCAGAGTAGCCGACTCAACTCCGGCGCCGCATCATTTCATGCCTGATGTAACCGCCAAAATGTGCATGGACGAAGGGGGGTATGTATGATATGCCTTATCATGTCCGAAAAATCCGAATGTGTTTCCCTCTCGAAAAGTGCAAGGACCGCGATGTCGATTATTGACGAGCGGGCTGAGTAGTCGATGACGATTCCGCTGCGGCCTCAGAGTCCAGACGCTCCTGCTCCAGAACTTCCTGACCGTTGTCCGAGGCCCACATATCGAGGTAGTCCTTTCCGCTGAAAGCCCGCTGAAGGGTGACGATTCTTCCGTCCTTCTCGATTTCTTTCGTGTACTTGGATTTCGTGGGAGGCATACGCTTGGTCACGAAGGGGGTCAACTAAATCGTACATACCCGTGTTAGCACTTCAACCCATAGATAACAGTCAATTGAACATTATAGAAGGCATAATCCCACCTTGAACTGATCCAGGTTCTCAGGCACAGCGAAAGTGCGGACTTTTTTCCAGTCGATCACATATGACCCGTTCTTCGCAAAGTAACCCATCGATCCGGTCCGGTTACCCTTGTAGTAGCCACCAAGGACCTGTTTCGTGGTCAGGCGCAAGCGCGCCATCATGGGCTGCGAGGGCTTGAACATGGTGGGCAGGCAGGGAGGCAATTGACGGTCGGTGGGTTGCGGAGGTAACAAGACGGAGCGTTGGACAAGATGTTCGGGGAAGAGACGATAGGAAGGCTCTTTCTGGGCGGCGCTAGAGAGAAGTAGCTCCGCCCCGCCAAGAACTTTTTTCGTGGTCCGCATCGGAAAAGTAAAAAAATCAACGGCTGCATCTTGACAACTTCTTGCGGTGCGTGGTCGCCATTCAAGCTGTTGTTTCTTTCATTTAATCTCCTGGGATTTATTTGAATAGATTTTTTATTTACATAGATCACAGCTTAGGAGCTGCGACACGCCCATCATGCCTCGCAGGCAGACGCAAATGCGCGGTCCCAAAGACCGGGACCAGTCCTTGCAGAAGTCGAAGAAGCCCGCACCCAAGAACAAGAAGTCCGGCAACTACCAGAATGCTTTTGCTATCGCAGAGAGCGAAAACCCCGGAAAGCTGGGAGTTAAGCGCACCCGTCTGGGCAAACAGGATGAACCGTTCAAACGCAGGCGACACAACCCTCAAGATGACGACGATTCGGACGGCCCGGACTACAGCAAGCGCCGTCGCACTGAAGACGATGAGGCGGAAATGGACTCAAATGCTGGTAGTGATGGCGAAGGACACCGGTGGAGGATTGGTGAGGTCGGTAGTGACGATGACAGCGAGTTGGACAGTGACGAAGCCATGGGTTCTAGTGATGAGGAACGGTTCGAGGGTTTCACGTTCCGCGGAAGTTCTACGATGAAGAATAAGCCGAAGCAGAAGGCCCCCGAACGCAAGAAGCGCACTCGCGATATCAACTTGTCCGAGGACGCTGAAGTATCGGAGGAGGATGATCTCGAAGACGACGAGGACGACCTCGGAGAGGATGCGATAGATTTGACTACGGCTTGGGATATGAACATGGCAGAGGAGGAAGAGGAAAAGGCTAAGAAGGCAAAGTCTAAGTCTAAGCAATCGGCTGAAAGCGATGAATCGGATGAATACGACTCTGAAAGCGAGGACAGCGACTCTGACGACGATGACGATGAACTGCCATTATCGGGAGACGAAATGGACGAAGACGAGGTGGATGAGCATGGTCTTTCCAAGCTACAGGACTTTGTCAACGCTATGAACACCGAGGGTACCACGAAGACGGCTCGAAAGACAGGCGGAAAACAAGAACAAGGGGCCCCTACGGAGTTCGGTCTGACTTCTACGAAAAAACTCACTATTGCCGATCTTTTGCCATCTATTACAGATTCTCGCCTGAAGAGTTCCCTCAAGCATGTCGACGCTGCTACAACCTCAAACAAGAAGACGTCCGGTGTTCCTGGCAAGCTGGATGCGCCTCTTGCAAAACGCCAACAGGATCGGCTGGACCGAGCGGCCGCATATGAGAAGAGCAAAGAGACTCTTGACCGCTGGCTGGAGACTGTCAAGGCGAACCGCCGAGCCGAGCACCTTATGTTCCCTTTGCCTGATCCCGAAGCCAACCAGACGCACCGGATGGGTGCTGCTGAGCCACGAACGGATCTTGAAAGCACCATCCAAAATATTCTTCAGGAGAGTGGACTTACTGAAAACAACGGAAAGTCAGCGGAAGAACAGGTGCAGGAATTTGAAGAACTCCAGGCCCGGAAACTGCCTATTGAGGAGATCAGGGCTCGCAGGGCAGAACTACGGAAGCGTCGTGATCTGCTCTTCCGGGAGGAAGTGCGCGCCAAGCGCATCAAGAAAATCAAGAGCAAGTCGTACCGTCGTGTGCACCGCAAGGAGAGAGAGAGGCTTGAGCAACAGGAACGCCAGGCTCTCTTAGAAGCCGGTGTGGACCTGGATGAAGAGGAGAGGGAGAAGAACGATCGTCTTAGAGCAGAGGCCAGAATGGGTTCGAAGCACAAGGAGAGCAAGTGGGCGAAGAGTTTGAAGCAGACTGGTCGGACCGCCTGGGATGAGGAGGCCCGGCATGGCACACAAGATCTTGCTCTACGGGAGGAAGAACTACGGAAGAGGATCGAAGGAAAGCGTGTCACCAACGGTGATGAAGACTACCTTGGCTCGTCCAGTTCTGAGTCCGAAGATGAGGACCCATGGGATGAAGAGGCTGGGTCAGATGCTGAGAAGCGCAAGATCCGCCAGAAGCTTAGCCAGCTGGAAGGCGACGATGATGCTGACACAGAGTTCAAGGGACCTCATGCCAAGCTCCTTTCGATGAAGTTCATGCAGAATGCGGACGCTGCGCGTAAAGCAGAGAATGATGCTGAAATTCGACGTCTCAACCGGGAGCTCCACGGTGAAGAATCGCAGTCTGAGGCGGAATCCGAAGTCGGTCGGCGAAAGTTCGGTCACAACAAGGAGGAGGCGAAGACAGCAAAGGAAACCAAAGCCAAGCTGCCTCGAAATGAATTCGAAGAGGCACCGGGTTCTGACGATGAGGATCAGCGAGAGGCGGATCAAGAGGTCGACATTGTTGTTGACCGTCCCGCAAAGAAGGGACCGGCCGTTTCCCAAAACAAGTCCCGTGTTCGTCCTCAAAAGGAAGTCGCAGAAGAAGATGGGGAAGATGCTGCTGCGGAGGAGAACCCGTGGCTCGTGCAGACGAACCGCAACAACCGTCGCGCCACCGTGAACGACTCACAGCAAACTGTTGACATCACGCTAGATGACGCGAATGTCAGCAGTGGTAAATCGAAGAGTGCTCCCAAACCCCAAAAGGCATCGGCACCTAGCAAAAAGAAGGTTGATACCGAGGTGTACGGTAGCGATGAGGAGGAGAGCGTGCCAGTGCTTCTCAAGAATCATGATCTGGTGAAGAGGGCTTTCGCGGGCGACGAAGTCGTGCAGGACTTTGAGCAAGAGAAGTTCGACACCATCAAGGAGGAAGACGATCAAGTGATTGACAACACCCTCCCCGGCTGGGGTAGCTGGGCCGGTGATGGCATCAGCAAGAAACAGCAAAAGCGCCAGAAACGATTCCTCACCAAGGTCGAGGGAGTGAAGCCGGAAGACCGGAAGGATGCCAAGCTCTCCCGGGTCATCATCAACGAGAAACGGGTCAAGAAGGTAAGAACGACGATCAGTCGGGCCCTAGCGCGTGTGATCCTTAATTTGTGCATGATGAACTAACGCCTGCTGTTTTGTCTAGAACACCAAGTACATGGCCACGCAGCTCCCTCACCCGTTCGAAACGAAGCAGCAGTACGAGAGATCGCTCCGTCTGCCAATCGGTCCTGAGTGGTCTACTAAGGAGACTTTCCAAAATGCAACCAAGCCACGCGTGATGATCAAGCAAGGTGTCATCAAACCGATGGAAAAGCCCATGGTTTAATGGATGTGGTGGTCTGGCTACTACGAATTGGCAGTCATGATGGGTATCTGGATAGACGAGAGCAAGGCATCTTGCCTGCCTGGGGTCTTTTGGTGGCGTTATTGTAGAATTAAGTTTGGTCATGATACCAAGTCATTTTAAGATTTCTCCAAACGATGGGTTTATTGGTTTAGAGGCTGCGACTAGAGGGTTGTCAAGGTGATGATTTTGTGTCATCCCCGCATCAACCGGATTGTTCGTAGCATCCGATCTGCAGACCAGCACTGGTTTCAAGTTAATTTAGTGCTGGACCCTTTGTGCAGGGCATTAGTCTCCGGGGTTGGTCACCCCCCTTTAAGGTTGTCGAATAAGCAGTGTTTTGGATCCAAGATGATCAGGTCTGGTGAGTCCCTGCACCGTGATACTCTCTTCTCCTAATGCGGAGTGGTTTCCTTGAATGCAGGCCACATGGACATCGAGATTCGGTCCGACTTGGATCCATGGAAAGGAGCAAGCCACTCAGAGAGTGAGTTGCGTCCCTTGCAACGACGACTGACAGGGCGGAATGCCACGACGGGCGTTGGCTGGGAAAAATCAGAGATGGAGCATTCAACAATCAAACTATCGAAATTTACTTTAACCTTGGCGTATGGGTACATTCCTTGATGCCTAGCGAGCATACGCCTCTCAGACCAGGTCTTGAGAGAAAGCCACAGAGAGTCAAGTCAAGGACCATGAGACCCTCAATGCTGGTCGCAAAGCTGGTCGGACAGTATTCGACTTTGTCCTTTGGTCAGAAGATGAAGGAGGAGAAAGTACGTAATTCTTGGGGAAGTATATGAGGCATGGGGGGATGCAGCAATAAACCATCGATGCTCCACTTGTTCTGGGTTACCCGCATCTTACAAACAGAACAGCGACAAGCAACTCAACAACTACCATCATCACCCGTCCCTCCCTCTCCCTCTTCCTTCTTCTCCCCGTTCAAAACCAACTACTAGTTTTATCTGTTCACACTAGTAATTCGTCCAAGACACCATCAACAAGCAATCATTTGGCCCTCCATCGGTTATGCAAATTAATTTCGATTAATCTGCCCCCCTTCATCAGCTGTCTTAATCATCCGGCTGCAGTAAGCTTCCATCTCCCCTGCACATACCCGCCCGACTTCAGGCAGATGGCGCCCTGCATGCGCCAAGGCTGGCAGAGCCCGAGGATGGTGCATTCCACCCCCCTCAACCCTACATTCCCCGTGCTATGTTTCCGTTATGCCTCGAGGTCTGGGATCAGACAACACAACATTGACCATTGTGCAGATCGACGCCTCGTAATACCTCGTTGGCACTTGTTCCAGCCCGCCAGTGTTCGTCTGGTATCCTTCTGCACCGGGGCCGGAGTTTTGCCCGGGCCTGAGAATCCTACTGGCTGAGACCGGAATCTATACTCGACCTAGGTGAGCTATTTCACTGCTATTTGAAAAATGTCTTCTGCCGCTCGATCTTCTCCTGTTGTTTACTCTCCTTTCCCATCCCTTCCTCATATACTGGAGCCCGTCTCTCGAGTGTCCCGTACACTCAGATAGTATTATATACGAAAGGAGACTTGGGAGATCCAAATTTGGATCGTATCTCCATCTCTGGCTCCTATATTATATTTCTCTTCTTGATGATTCCATTGCGGTCATTGTCACTGTTTTGTTGC